AATGATTATTCTTAAAGCTACAGGCCATAGAAACTACTTCTTGACACACCCTCATTATTGTTGGGTGCTTTCCCCAAGGTAGGAAATGCAGCTCAAGCACTCAAGATTCATTAATGTTCATGAGTGTCCTGACTCAAATGTTCCATGTGATTTACACATGGAGCATTTGAATAAACTGATCAAGTTATGTGCGCATCATCTAGGTGCAAACAAAACAGAAAAGTATCATTAGCCCAATTTATGAAACACTTTCATTTATGCAAATACTCAATGATTTACCTGTATCATGTTATGCCTCCCATCAAAGCAAGGAGAGGAGAAATCGTCATAGAGGTAATGAGATTCATAGCCAGGGAAGCCATTGAAATGGTCCTCAGTGCATTCCCATACGTTGCCATAGAGATCATAAAAACCTTTGGGATTGGCAGGATAAAAATTGACAGGCTGTGAAAGGAATAAAGGAAAATTTTAAAGGACGATCTGATAAAAATTTTTACCGTTGAAGAGCCATAAGCAAAGTTAAAGTTGCAAAGAAAGTCCTTGCGATTGATGGGGTCACAGCTATATTTTGAAGACAATGGCTAAAAAAATTATAAAAATTTAAAGTCAAAAACAACTTATTTACATCATCTCCTCTCATGATCTGGTGCTCGGCTTCAGTCGGTAGTCTAAACTCCGCCCCTTTCCAACGGCAGTATGCCTTTGCCTCATGATAGTTAACATCAACTGGCCAATCCCAGGGCATATCAATGACATCATACAAAGCACGATACCTGTGCACATGAATAAATTATAATATTATAATATCAGTCAAGTATCTACTATGATGTATGGGCCCACAATGATATCATCATATCAACTGTCACGCAATGACATCAACTCATGACTTCATTATGACATCATTCACTTACTTGTACTTCGAATGGGTGCTCCCATTGGTCACACCATTACTCTCATTGTTACAGTGAGAGTAATCGGAGAGAATGGATCCACAGTTAGACTTGCATTCATCAGTACAGACCCAAAACAATGGATGCCTTGGCTGCCTGAACTGAACCCATTGCCAACCTATAGTAATTATTGCATTTTAATACAAGGTAAACAATGCCATTTGATTATTACCTTCATCAGTCCAGTATTTCTTAGTACTGTATCCACCATCAGCAACAAAGTCAAGAAACTCTTTGTTAGTAATAAGATACTGAGTTGCTTCAAATGCAGGAACTCTAAAATGACAATTAACAGAAAAAAAGCTCCATTTTGTTTTTCAGATAACCCTATACACTGACTATCTAAACTAAGGGCGGTATGAAAATTTGCTTAGTGTATACTGAGGAAAGATTATCATCAGTGGGACACTATACCT